GACATCTGAATTTATTTTTTATTATAACTGATTACTGAAATAAGTTTACTAAACATATTATTTGATAAAAATTGTTAACAACTTACATGAAACATAATTCTATAATAATATGTGTACTAATATATTTTATTTTGTTTTTAATTTCTTGACTTCTGTTCAAGCTTCAAAGAAATGAGACTTTGTTTTTTCATAATAAATTTGCCAAATTGTATATCATTTTTTGTATATTGACACTGCAATTTGAAATGTAAATAATATACTTTTAGATAAATTCATTGACAAAGATGAATAAGTATGTCATAAAATTTATTCTAAACCTTTTTAATATTGCCAATTTTTGCATTTGAAGCTTTTGTGATATTCTTCTCAATTAATGTAACAGGATGAATTTTCAAACATTTTTTAGCACTTATGAATCCTTTATCTACATTTGACCTCTCGTATGCAAATGTATTACAAATATTTTGAGAATTATCTAAAGGATTTATTAATCTAAAATTGATGTACATGAAAAACGTTTATATACGTATTTTATGTATATACAGATAAATGTAAATAATTTTAATATAAATCATAGAAATTATATGTATAAAATTAATTATAGATAAATAGATATGTGAAATAATTTAATACTATATAGGTAGTACCGTATAAGATTCAATATGTCCTCTGAAAATGACTTCAAATTATTTAAGATACACATGGCATTTGTTATATCTTGTTCAATATTTTTATTACAAATAAGTGTCATCTGATTCTTAATATTATCAATTTCATTACTTAATTCCACAACATTATATTCTTTGTATGTTTTAATATTTTCTATATACTTGTATGGGGTAATACTGTATTTACAATTATGAGACTCAACAACATCTTTAATATCAGGATGTTGCTTGAAAATAACGTTAAAGTTATGCTCTAGAGAAAAGTTCCAAACTTCATTACAAAATTTATCTTCTGTTTCCCAAACAGTAAAATTTATGTTATCCTACAACACGTTCAGTAGAAAATATTTTATATAAACATTTGCAATGATTTGTATTAAATTTATTGAATTATTACCAATTTTTCGCGTTCTTCATTTAATATTGTCTTCTGTTGTTGAAGTAATTCATAATTTGTACTTAAAAGGTTTTTGAGGACTTTTAATTCTATAGTTTTACCAACACTTTTCGTTAAATATAAATTGTATAATTGATTTTCTTCATAATCTAAAGAAATCATTCTTTACTCTGTAATTGGTACTAGTCTGAAACATATATTTATATATTACAAATATAAGTATCTTAATTTTTTTAAAAATATTTGATAACTTTTCATAGGTTTACGAAAACATAAAAATTAATACGCATTCTTTCGTACATGTAACTGTAACTGTTAATCAAACGTGTATATTTTCCAAACAAAAGTATTTCGTTACATTAACGAAAGGCGATGAAATTAATTAATTTTAAATTTCGAAAAACCGTTCGTTTTTTCTTAATTTTTGTTGTAATATATATGTCGCCGGATTGGTGATTTCCGTTGAAACGTACGTAAGTGACCTACCAAATACATACTTCAAAAGTAATTAATGTACTATAGTGTTATGGCGTATCGAAGTTTACCTGATATCGTAAAATAACCTGTTTTACATGTAAACAAACTTTGTTCAATATTTTTTACATTTTCAAATATTAAGTTGATAAATTAGATATTTTGAAGTATGATTAATAGTGTAAGATGAATTCAAACGGCCTGAAAGTATTAAAAAAAGGGTTAGTATAAAATTTATATAAAGTTTTTATAATTTATGTGCAAAAATAGTATATTATTAATTTTTTTAATGTTACAAAAGAAGTAACTAATTCATTATTAAAAGTAATAATAACTGATTTATAAATTCATTTTTTATTGCAACGTCATTAGCAATCCATACCCTCAGGGGATGCGATGTCAGAAATGTTTAGAAATGGGACATTGGAGTTACGAGTGTAAAGGAAAAAGAAAATATTTACATAGATCTTCACGTACATCACAACTGAAAAAAGCCTTAAAGAAACAAGAAGAATTTAATATGTAAGTTTTCAAGTAATATTGAACTTACTGAAGTTTGAATTTTGATAAATGATAACACAAATAAATGTACTGTTACAGAGAAGAACAAAAAAAAGACGTCAAGAAAAGCCGGCAGCAGAAAAAAATGAAGAAAGAGTCTAGCAGTTCCAGTGATACAAATTCTAGTGCTGAAAGCAACAGTTCTAGCAGTAGTAACGATAGCAGCAGCAGCAGTTCATCATCGGACAGTGAATCAGACTCTAGTGACAGTGTTTCCAGTAGTAGCAGTGGTAGTACTAGTTGTAGTAATACTAGTAGTAGTGGTAGTAGTAGTAGTAATAGTAGTAATTGTAATTGTTCTAATGGTAAATAATATTTACAGTAAGCTTAAAGAAGATTAAGTTTCAATTATCTTATCACTCAATTATATTGTAAAGCAACAGTTTTCCATTTTCACAAAACTACTCCTTCTAGATAATTTTAAATATAGAACAAGAAGTTTGTTGCGAATAGAGAAACATTTTAAATATTTGTGGTATTCTGCTGGTCCTTATATTACCAATATATGTACAATAAGATTCATTGTACAAAATTTAGGTAATTAAGGTACTTATATATAAATTACATTTTAAATGACAAATTATACAATGTGCCTTATAGTTGAATATTATTATTTATATTATGGTATTAACACCTTCCTAATTTATTAAATTCTTGTAACAGAAAAAGAAAATAATTCTATAATACGAATTTTTCCATAAAACAAAAATCATTTATTTGCAAAAAAAGAACAAAAATAATAGATATAAACATAAAAAAGTAAATAAAATATAATTAGGTGTTTAGTTATATGACAGAGTATCATAATACAAATTAAAGTATGCTCATGTATATGGTTTAATGCGTTATTAGTCATCGATACTCTCAGGAAGTGTTTGTATTATTACTTTTCTTTTTGATTCATATACAAAGTTATTCGATTTAAAAATGTCACTTTCATAAAATGGCTGAACATTATGTATATCAATTTGTTTAGCCTGAAAAACAAAAATACAAAAATATATTCGTATAAAAGAAATAATGTTCATAGAACTATGATAATATGTCAAACAGAAGAAACTATTCATACCCTGTCTAATAAATCTTTTTCCGAGATTTCAATTGCTGTAATGCGATTTCCATGTAAAGCTTTTTGGAATGCTAAAGTATCTAATGTAACTTGTCTAAGTATGTAATATAAAAGTTCACTGTGATCTTTTTTGTACGATAAGTATTTCTGGAACGTCTGTAATAAAATATTTGTTATAAATATTTTAATAAAGTCATTGTAAATTTATTTAAAATATGAATGAAAGTATTTACCTGTCGCATACTTCTCATTACTGAATACTTTTGTGTATCAATAAAACTATCAAGCATCATTCTGATGGCAATATTAATATCGTTTTCTTGAACATGATCTCGCAAATGAATTTTGGCGCTCGCTTCAGCCATACGTATAATACTCTCTATGTGTCTCACAGTGATTGGTAAACTTCCAGTGGCCTAGACAATTCATTAAAAGAAAAATTGTACCAAAAATAGCAAAATGTTTACAAGTTCCATACATATAACTTACTAAACTTTCTTGTCTTAATTGACTGTACAATTTTGCTACTTTATCCTGATTAATATTTGTCAATTTAGGATGAACATTTTGCTTTGCATATACTATATATTTCCTCAAAAGATCTTGTGAAATGGACATATCGTGTGTATTATCTTCCGGAATTGTTTTATCTGCATTTGTTGGGTGATGCCTGATATGAGAATTTACAACAAATTTAGCCAAATGTCTGTCTTGCATAGGATCTATTTCATCTTTTACGACACAAAGGATATCGAAACGAGACAAAATTGGTTCAGATAAATCTACCTAAATAGGAAATTAATAAATAGAAAATTATTGTGATTTTCATTGTATATGCTTGTTTTTTGTATATACGTATGTGATTTCTTACATTGTCTGAAAATGTCATACTAGCATCATATCTTCCCCCAATAGGATTAGATGCAGCTATGACTGAACATCTAGCGTGAAGAGATGCAACAATTCCTACTTTTGAAATAGAAATACTTTGTTGTTCCATAGCTTCGTGTATGGACGTCCTATCTTGATCATTCATCTATAAGAATAGTAATAATTAAATTGTGTTAAAAACTTTATTACAAACAAATTTATCCACCTTGTCAAACTCGTCGATAAGACAAATTCCATGATCAGCAAGCACTAAAGCTCCAGCTTCCAAAGTCCATTCTCGAGTAGTTGGGGATTTTCTTACAAAAGCAGTTAAACCGACAGCTGAAGCTCCCTGACCTGTAGTGAAAACTGTTCTTGGTGCAATTTTTTCGATATATTTTAAAAACTGAGATTTAGCTGTTCCTGGGTCACCGCACATCAACACATTTATATCTCCTCTTACTTTATGTTTATTACCTGTACATTCATAAGAGGAACATTAAATTTTACTACTAAAAAGTGTGTTAAAATAAAAATAAAAAAAGGGATAATAAAAATAAAAAAATACCGGGATTCTTTGATTCACCCCCAAATATTGCCAATGCCAAAGCTCTTTTTGTGTATTCATGCCCATAAATTGACGGTGCTATACTTGTAACAATACGGTCAAAAATCCGATGATCTTTACTCAAAGAAATAATACTAGAAATATCTTCTTCGGTTAAAGATTCCACAATTTCTTTTGAATCTTTTACTTGCAAATGATTTGCTAGAAGAACTGTCGCAAATACTGGAAAACCCTAATATACAAAAGAAGAATACTTTTGGTACAGTATTTAATATAAATATTTTACAAATGATTGGTCTCTTACTTGTTCTGTATTTAAAGAACCATCATAGTTGTTTGTGTAAATAGCAGTAACATCCACTTCATCTCCAGGTTTACAACGATCACAAAGATCTGATAAAAGAATACATTCTTTGCTTCTAGGTATTCTGCCTGCAGGAATTTTACCCGGTGATTCTTGAATAGTGATTTTTTGATAATTTCTATATATTGTTTGTTCCATATTAATCTGTAAACAATGTTAATGTAATTTTAATGTGTACAGTTATATGTAATTGAAATATCTACAATAGGAAGTTTTACCATAAAAGGTCCAATACTTTGACACTCAGGACACGATCCAGGTTTAACTTCAGCATTTTGATTTTGTACAAAAGGACCAAGTACATATCCACACTTTGTACAATCGTATTTTACAACTGATAATTGTGGTAATACTCCTGTGGTCGCAGTAACAACGCCCAGGGTACGTACTAATTGATTTAGATGTAACTTTCTGATATTTATAATAAACACTATTATTATTAACATCTTAAACATTATACGCTTCATTTAACATACGATTATTTATTACCTAAATGTACGAATTTCTTCTATTAAAGGTAATTCTGATATTCTAACATGAATTTCAGCGGTGACTCTTTCATAACTGGGGAAAATAGTTAACACCAACTCCTTTGCTACTTCATCAAATATTTCTAACATTTGAAATGGTGCTTCTGGTAGAAAATAAGCCAAAACATGTTCTTTACTGGCAAGAATAGGAAATTCCACAACAAAACTGGACTATTACAAAAATGAATAATTATTATTTTGGCTTATATATTATTACCACTGATACTAATTGTTTATACATATTAATTACTATATATATAGATATACAGATACATTACTTGATTACTCTCGCACATATGGCGAATTCTTTCTTTGTACATATATTGTCCTTTTGAATTGGTATGTGTACGTAAGAAACTTTTAAATCGATTAGAAATTTCTGTTCTGGGTCCTAGCATAGACACCCACTCTTTAACCGAATGACCTTTGGTGTCTTCTAAGTTTTCAATGGATTCAATCATCTAAAATAAAATAATGAAAATTATTTTATATTGCATAATAAGAAGGAATAATAAAGATACTTACTTCTGCATCTTCTATTTCACCTGTTGCAGCTTTTTCAGCCATACGTCGCTTACGTGCGTGTACTTCTTCTTCATCGCTTTCATCTTAAATATATAAGTAGATATGCAGTAGAGTATATGAATAGGTGAATTAAGCTTTGGTAGAAAGTAACTATGCCATACCATAAAGTAAATATCTATCATCTCTGATAATGCCTGCTGCCCTATCTCTTTTATTCATGGCAGCTTCAGCAACAGCACGTTCTCCTTGAGACATTTCCGAATATGCTTCATCGTCAACCATATTTGGATCATATCTATCCAAAGCTGGCATAGGACGGTAATCACTGGAACATTGTAAAAAAATTAACAAAACATTAATTTCATTAATTTCTTTAAAATAAAAAATATTACTCTTCCATATTATCCCCGAATAACTCTTCTCCTTCTTCTTCCTGTTCTTCTTGATTGATATCATTATCATTACCAAGTAAATCAGATTCATCTTCAAATGGTTCATCTATATCTGGAGCAGGAGATGTCATTGCTTCTGTATGTCTATCAGAACGAACTGGAGAACTACTAGCGTCCTAAAGAATACATAAAACAACAACAAAAAATTAAAAAATCAAGACAGTTTTAAAAAATAATACTTATTGTACATGCTAAGTATCTTGAACAATATTATATTAACTTTCTTGTAGTACACATTTATAATGTTTTCAATGCATTAAATTATATATGATTATTACATATATTTTGTAATTTAAATATCTTACCATTTTATTTATATTGGGTAAAACAAAATGTAATAGCAATACAATAAAATACAGAAGACGATTCTTTATTTATACGTTACTACAAACCCGAACCAAAGAAAAACAATAATTGGCGGGAATTTCTTTTGGATCATGAAATCTCTAGTAGCGCCAAAGTAACTAATTTTTGACTCACACTTTTGATATTAACCAGTGACAACAACGCTTTAGAAGGAAGAAGGGAAATCTTGAATCATATTGGTCAACGTACAGTTGCATGTAATTTCTAATAATCGCTTCTTTCACACGAAAATTGCACAATAACAAAAAGATTATTACTTTAACGTAAAAATCAGATAAATGTGTTACCTTTTTCGCGGTAGTATATATAGAAATAATAAGATGAAATTGTAAGGTATAGGATAAAATGAATTCAAAACATACAGAATTATTTTCAATTTTTATTGCCATCTATTGGACAGTAAGCATTTTTCAAAAAATATAAAGATTTTAATTTATCTAATACAGAGACAATTTCTGCTTGAATATTTGCTGATCGTACAGCAAGGAAAAGAGACTCTTGGAAACGTTTTTGAGCAATTCGTAAACTTTGTGGAACAAGTACTCCAAACCATTTTATAGGATCTGGAATTTCATCTCCATCTTTATCAGACTTTTTCAAACTTAAGTCAAAATTGGGAATTATTTTGCCAGTTTCTTCTGTCAAATTGGTTTCTAATTCAAATAACGCAACAACTTTTTCTTCATCATCAGGAACCTGTAGAATACTTATGCTTTCTTTACCACGTATATACTTGGCTTTAGCTAATTCTATATGGCCATCACGCAACATATTTTCCATTTGAATGTTAACATTAATTTTCTCTTCCATTAGCTCTAGATTACGTAGTAGATTTTCATCAATAGCTTTACATATATCATTTATACTTTCATGCATTTTGTGTATTATCAGGATTGCACTAAAGAATTGATTACAATATATAATATAAGTCCTATCTGAAATATAGCATGCATAAGATATGTAATATATACATTTACTATTACTAAGGCATTGACAACAATATTAGATTTGACATTTTAATTAACACTTTGTGTACATACCAAATGATAAAATGGAATTATTTTTTTATTTTTATTCGTTCCTAAATATTTTACCCTTCATAAGTTAACATTTTCATACATCATACACTAAATAAATAATAAATATTTATTTTTCACGTAGATTTATAAACAAAAATAGTTTTCTCCATACCATCCCTTTACTAGGTAAACACTATATGTGAATATATGATATTTGGGCCAAAAAGTCCGGTTGGATAGGGGAAATTGAGGGGAATAGAGTTACCTTCTCTACGAATGGAATTGTAGAAGAAGTAGGAAAGAGTGGGAGACAAGCCTTGACTAGCTACACTGCTTTTGGCACTACTGTGACAGTGCTGAAAACTGTTTAAAGAATGTGAACGTAACGAAATTGATATATAGGGTATTACTTTGTAAATTGTAATAATGGCAGTTAAAGAAAAACAATTAGATGGATCTACTGACGAAATAGAATGGAACGTTGAAAATGAAATTCAATTATTCTTTGCAATGAATGGTCATAAACCTGTTGGTAAGACTTAAATTAATGGAATCTCTATAGGTTATGTTTACGTTTGTTTGACATAAAAACAGTTATTGACTATACTATTGAAAAATTTAACTGTCCTTTTATAAGATTGTATAAAATATATTTTTTTGAAGGTGTAAATAAGTATTTCCATATGGTTTGTATATGGGAAAAATTTCGCGCTGCCATTCACAAAGATGTATCATTAAAAATGATTTGGGATCATTTAGAATCAATGTATGACCTTATGGCATTGGTAACTATTATTATATTAAGAAGTAAACTGTAATAATTCTAAGAAAAGCTGAAAACATAATTGAATCATTGTAGGATGATATGGAAGATTTACCATTCCCTAGTCAAGAAGTAGACTTTTCTTTACCTGAACAAGAGTTTTTGGGAACACTTAAAGTCAGAAAAAGAGAAGAACCAGAATTGAAATTGAAGGAGCAGAGGGACAAATATAAAGAAATAAAAAAAGAAAAAGATATCAAAGATCCTATGAAAAAAGATGCTATACTTCGTGATCTCAAAGGAACAAAAGAACTTGATAAAAAGAAAGAAGAGTTTAAAAAATATGTCAAAGATATAGAAATGAAAAAAGATAAATTTAGAGACATTAAAGATATTAGAAAAGATCATAAGTCTTCGAAAGGGAGATCAAAAGGAAAAGATGATCCTGAAGAGACAGGTATGAATCGTAATTCTTAATGTAATTCTAAATGATATATATAAAGTTTCATTTTATTTTTTTTATAGCAACAAATGGAAAGAAAGAACGTAAGGATTCTGATTCTGGCCGAGAAAGTTTGAAAAGAGGCCCAAAACGACCAACTAGGCAAAGCGTAGATAGTACATCTAAAGCATCTCCTAGTCCTCGTGATACACCTCCACCAAAACGTAGAAGAATATAACAATTTCCGATAAACTGAAATTGTTACTTGAACTGTAAACTTTAAGAAACTATGGTTAGCATTTCAAACTGTGAACAAAGTAAAACTCATGTATAACATACATGATCTGTGTAAAGACTTGTATGAAAGACTATATACCTATATAAAGTCAGTTTTATAAAGAATTTTGCATTAATCTATTGTACATATAATATATCGTGTGATGAAATATTAATAAAAACATAAAATATCTAAACCTCATGTGAATTATTATACGCATAATAATATTCCGAAGTAATAAAATCTTACATATAATGAAGTCACTCAAGTCAAATGGTTAATGAATAAGGGAATAAATATGAATATAAAACACAAACTGCATACTTTGTGGAATATTAGCCAGTGTTTATTACAAAAGTCGCAGACATGTTCATTGACATGAAACTTTGGATCGTGTATTCTTGTGGTACTGGAATAATTGTGATCCCCATTTCAATCGGTGGAATGAATAGTGTTGGCAGACTCCAAATACTTCTGACTGTCTTCACGTATTGGAGGTAAATATTTTTATCGAAGTCTTCTTGCTTCACGTTCCGACTCCAGTAAGGTTAGGAGATCACCTTCTCGTACCGGTCCTTTTACATTTCTGATAATTTGTCGATTTTGTTCTCCCAGAAATTCGACTTTAACTTGTGTACACTGGCCCTGTGAGCCAGTTCGTCCTAGGACCTTAATAACACGAGCCAAAACTACTGGCTTATCCATGGTACTCTCACGTGGCTTTGATGCGACAACGAAAAGACAGTTTAAGGAAGTGAAAGAACATTCTTCATCTAGCAATTCAATAATCGAAATGGCGACTTCCGGTAAGTTCTACCAATTATGTAAACATTAGTAATAGTAAAATTTAGTTTAATTCAAGTAGAATATCAGTATATTTTTTGAACTAACAATATAAAATATATATTTTTAAAATGAGAAATTGGTGATTATTTTAAACATAAATATTGCAATTTATTATCGTAATTTGTTTACTAACGTATAGTAGATGGCGTTTCTTGTTATATCAAATTTGAACGCATACGACACTTAGGTTCTGAACGTTTTAATTTATCAAGAATGTGTGACAATTTGAACATTGCTTATGTGTTTTTAAATAGTAGGTTCGCCGAGAAATACATTTCAAGTACTTATTTAAATTTGTACGTTAAAGTCTTAAATTAACGACGGAATGTCATTCAATTTATTAAACTTCAGAATCAATTCAACTATAATGTACACTTTAATTTTATGTCTTTTTATAGTGCTTTCTTCTATATTTGCCATATAACTTTTCATTCACCTGAGAATTTGTTCCATATTAATAATTGTCGATATACATACACATATAATTTTTATATTTTTGTGATCATTTTAACTATCAATATAATGCATCCAAATTTCGTCGTCATGATATTAGGAATTTTTTCGGTAATTTTAGATATCTTTATTTGTTATGTTATGACGACACATATTTGTACTTATACTGATTTTACAATTCTGTCAGACTTTCTCGATGCAACAGCAAGTTATAAGATCTAACTTTTTCACACTCGCTACATCATAAATTATATGATTGGTGATAATTATTTATAAGAATATTATGAAAAAATTTTTTAAATGCATTCTATATTTAGTGGCAACATGATTCAGTATCACTTATTAAGAAAAAAATTTAATTAAACATGAACGCGATAAATATGTCCAGAACTTATTGTCAAGTTTCAATATTTATGTTCTTAAATGGCAATAAATTGCAGAACATTATACTGTGGAAAGTTTTAATTAATCTATAACTGTTATAACTAAAATACTTTTCTAAATGCAAGGTATTTAGAAACTTCATAAGGGTATTGGTCACATGTTTAGATCAATAAGTCTCTGTCATTAGATACTCCCAAAATATGTTAATGATTTTCAGTTTTGTAAGAAGTAACAATATTTGCTGAAAAATATTAAGTTTTAAAATGTTCTTTAATGTGTAATTAACGTCGAAATTTAGCAATTTAACTAACACACTACTCAAGTACAAACACAATAGCATAGATAACTTTTAAACAGAAGACAATGTTTCTTTTTCATTCGTGATTAGACAATATTAATTACATATGAAAACAATAACTAAACTTTTAAAATATCTTATACATTTTGATTGCATACAAACATTATAACGTTTTACTAAAAAACATGTTTATTCTTTAAAATCGTTGGAAATTACTTTTTAACTAAAGTTGCCTTTAACGTATAAATTTGTCGGCATTTTTAGAGGATTATGAAAACTATTACGTGCTTTGTTTTCATTTTGTATTTCGGAATAAAAATTAATTATGTCGCAAAATATGTTTATCGCACTAAAGATACTTGTACTTATTTAAGTACAATGAAATATTTTTTGCCATAATGAAAGTGGACCCTGACATATACTAATCAAGTGGTTACAAAAGCACCCATTTTAGCAAATAATGTAATTACGTTCCCAAGTGCATACATATACCGTATGTCACGAATAACTCTTTACAATCAGTCAAAAATTCGTTTTTTATTCATAGTTCCCATTTTTTCCAACAATAACGTTAAAAGCTAGCAAAGCTTTAAAAGAAAAATATTTTCTGACTCGAAATACTGTACACATTCACGAATTACTTTTCGAAAATGGCAGCGTTCGAGTACTTTTTTGCTTTGTGTCTTAGTTATGTTATACCCCAGAGCAATTTCCAAACTAATATGGAAATGTAATTGTGTTGGGTAACGAACGTTCGACACTAGTGTACAACACTGAATGGTATAATCAAACAACTAACAATATCCTTAAGAAATTTACTGCCACAAATTGGTGGAAAGCGTTTGTCCGGGAAGTGCAGTGGTACTAGTCTTTCCTGGTGTATTTGAGAAACTAGCACCTCCTAAAGATAGTTGAGACATTTGTTGCGATAACTGCAATATAACAATAATTTTAATTATTATCATATAAGAAAACAAATTTCCAAATTGTACATACAACAAAGAGTTGATGTACCTGTCCACCAAAACCAACAGATTGCTGTTGCTGTTGTGATGCTAAGTTGAAGAATGGATTACTACCAGGTGCTGGTTGAAGATTTTGTGTTAACATTCCACTCCATCCGTTATTGCTACTAATATTAGACTGTCCTAGTTGCATCATCTGCAAATATATTAGATAATTAATCTATCCAATGACAAGTATATTTTATGATACGTATTATGTGATATGGAGATTTACATACCATTTGAGATTGCATTGTAATGGCAGGATTGGGTATACCATTCATTTGATGCATCTGGCCTATTTGTATGCAATTTCCTAAGGAATTTGTTGCAATTGGTCCTAATGAATTAGGATTTACTGCCATTTGAGTTTGATTAGTCGTTAATTGATTAGTTGTAACAGGCATTTGAGCAGGAAGATGATTAAGTTGAGCCAAGGAACTTTGTTGATTTGGAAAATTACTTTGCTGGCTGAATGCTACCATATTTGGTATTTGTTTGTATTGAACAGTAGACTGTTGTTGAGAATACATTCCACCTGAAATACGATAAGGCACAAAATATATCAAAGTTATGAAGAAAGTAATATACTTAAAGTAATTAATATACCAGGAACTCCATAAATTGTTGATTGCTGATGACTTGGTGTACCATACAAAGCCAAAATGCTATCTTTAGACATTTTACTCTTTTCTTGAGGCGATGGTGATGGCTGATCAAAGAAACTTTCTTCTTCACTTTTACTCACAGTAGTTGATGTGTTTGTAGTTGTGTTAGAGGTACTACTACTAGTAGTTGAAGCTACTGAAGCTGGAGGTGCAGATAAGAAAGAAGAGAATATGTCATCTCCAGCACCATTTACATTTGATTGATTTGTTGCTGGAGCATCTGAAAAAATTTTAAGATAGATTAAAAATCTAATTCTCATGTAAAGTTATATAAGAAACTGGCATGCACTAGAAATTCACCTAGGCCCAATAAATCTAAAGTAGTAGCATTATTAGCTCTATTCGGTTTAGGACTGACAGAACTCTTAGGTTTCGGTAATTGAGGCACTACTTCTGGCTTCTTTACAGGTGGAAGTATAGTTTGATTGTTAGTGCTTTTTGAATTTTCCTTTTTTCGTCTACGTTGCCTTTCAGCTTCTTCATCGAGTTCTTTATCCCAATTTATCTATACATTAATGTAATAATTAATATTTTATATAAAAATATGTTTCTAAAGAAGAATGTACTTATACTTTTGGTAGAGGTGGTGGTACCCATTCCCTAGCTATATACTTTTTATGTTCATATTTTGCACGAATGAAACTTTCCAGACTACAATCTGTTTGAGGTCTTCGAAAACTGTCTGGAAGGTTTGCTTCATAAACTGCTCTTGCTCTAGAGTTACCCATTTGCTGTAAACTCTGAAAATAACAAAAACATATTTATTCTAAAGATATTTAAATTATTACTTTAAAAAAAGATTAAAATATTTAATACATAAAGTTATACAATGAAAAAACTATATATATACCACTACTTGTTCTGGTGTCCATGTATCTAAATTAACAGATTTGACTTTGCTTATATGAACTCCAAGATTCCTATGTATTCCAGCACAACGAATGCATAAGAATATACCTAGATTCCAACTTGCCCATCTTGGTCCTATAGAATAAATAAAAGTGGAGCTACTTGACATAATAAAAGAATATATTTATTTGTAATTTATACATTACATTTACTATTGTACATTAAGATATATAATGTTAAGAAATTTAGTATGTATCAAATTTATAAATATAAACACAGGGTTAAGCAGTAATAAAACATTTTAGCTTATAGAAATATTTGTTGCTATGTGTAAAATTTTAATAAAGAAATAAATGTTATATCGTTTAAAATTATTTAATGAAAATTAATAAGAAGAAAAAGGAAATGTATGCACGATCATCGATTGAGTGATGCTTAAACGACTAAGGAAGTAAACGACTACGAAACATTAGTCCTGTTCACCTGTGATCACTGTCATTTAAGGTTTGTCATGGTGGGAATTAAAAATCTATAATATTTCGCTGGGTGAAACTAGGTCGTTTTGAAATCGATATCGATGACCCGTATGCATCATCAGTTAAGGAAAAAGAAACTGAATTTCTGTAGGCATATAGGGAACGGACAAAATAATGTGAAGTCGATCAGCGACCAGGAGGCATCGGTAGGATATTCACAATTGACGGACGAACCTTTTGCATCGCAGTCGACACAATACTTGTTGTCTTCATCACGTAGCATTTGTGTCAAAAGATTTTGACACTTTTCTTGGATCTGTTTGGCACGTTCTTTTTCCAAGCGAGACGTCATTTTTGCACAGTGGCTAAGCACTCTAACCGCACGTAGTTCCAAAACAAAGTTTTCCTTCTCGCAACGCTGAACACTCACAAGAGCCGTCAAGTAATATCCAACGATGGTTACCGAACGCCCCCAATAGTTCAACTCGTTACTCACCGAAACGTCATACAGTTGAAAGAATTCTATTGGATCCGTTCGCCTTAATACCTTGAATAAAACAATAAATAGATTCGTCAACGATCTGAATGTTTTTCCAATGTTACTGCCTGGCGAGAAGTTGCCAAATGCATAGCCACTTTACCTAGGGAATAAGGGTAACACCAATGGTCAAGGTAGTTATCCATTGATTGCAAGAGAGTTACTAGCTTATAAGAATAAGTACCTACTATTTCTTGTGCCGTGATACTCAATGGTTGATTTATAATAGAAATGTCTATGTTTACTCTCCTCACGATAATAATTCGAAAACAACGTTCTCCCACTACTTCTACTCAAGGAGTTGTTCGAGACTGTGTGTAGGTTGCCGGTGACCTGGCACTTTCGTCTGAGTGGTCAAATTCGAGGCGCACGCCTTGCCCGCACGGATTTTCGGTTTTAATATATGATTGGCTGAGTCGCTCACACACACTAATGGGGTCGTGTGACAAAAAGTACGAACATCCGTTTCCAGACTCACAATTGGATTTCTCGGAGCGACTGTTTCTGCCCCTATGACATCACGAGTGTCAAGCTCTCAGCAACTGACTAAAGTGCCTGCAGGTACTCTAGTGACATTCCCCTCACAAAAAATTACCTTCTCCATACTTACTTTTACCTGTTTGTATTGAACACTGTTTTTGAGTTACTAGAGTGAGGGGAGTAAATTAGACGCCTTTGATTTACAGGACTAATGTTTTTAGATAGTATTCTCAATAATAAGTTTATTCCTAAAAAGTAAAAATTTGAAACTAATTATACCTTTTTTTCTCGCAGACGACAATTATTTGAAGAGTTCTTATATTAACAATTACAGTGAAAACTTTTGAAGATTCTTCTGTTCCGTTAATAGATAAATATACGTTGGAGAATAAAATTTGTTTAAATAACATTTACGAAGTTTTAATAAACTCTAGAAACTTAAATTGCGCTACAAATCTATTTAAATAGAAAAGTGGCATAAAATGTAATTTTCTGTTTATCGGCATCGTCAAAATTTGATTAGTTTACTAGCGAACTCTAGTGAGTAGAATAATCAGTTATTTAATTAAATAAGAATAACTACAGACGATAAAAGATGTGTGCCTAAGAAACTAACTTTCACTACAAGCGAGGTTTAGGATAGACAGAGCATGCAATATAAAATTTTGTCACATGCTGTCAGGGGTCCCAGAAGCCATTTTACATTTTACCATTTTCGTTTCACTCCCTATCGTATCGACTTACGCCGATTTTGCACGGCAGCGCTATAAGCGATAGGAATTAGAATCAAAAACATTGGAACACTAAGAGATATGTACAAATGGTGCAACGTATGGAAATTTTTGCTTAGAACCATTGTCATTTTGATCGTAACGTAATCTCTTACTCATTGAAATTGAACGTTTCTTAAATTATACTTAAGAAACGTACGACGCCCTTCTTTTCTTGAGGAAGTTGAACGGAGATGAGAGGTGTGTGGCTCGAGGGTATACAGTCGTCTTAAATTGTTGATTGTCAATGTCTCAGTAGAATCCTTGATCACGACTGATTTTGGCTCGAGCGTACCGTTGATCGTCGGTGTGAATCAAGCTTTTCCTCTTTGAAGCCCTGTTTGTCGGTGAACACGCAGTTCCCCAGCCTGCTGCTTGAGATGTAATCAGTCGCGTGCGTCGATACCTATTCCTTCTTTTGCCTGGCCTTCTTGTCGTTTTTCATGTTCAGCGCTTTTGTTGCATACGATTTCTTCTTCTCGTATGAGGCGTTGTAAAAGTTACAGAACAGGAAGAAGAATACTTCGAATTTATGACAGCTATCCAGATGGTCCCCTTCGGGTAGTCGCAGTCAATGAAAAATAGCTGGAACATGAACTGAATAATCTGCAAGCTCGTCAGGTACTTCTTCCACCATAGGTACGGCTGGATCCATGAGTCCAGGGCGGCCAGCAGGTAGTACGAGTACATTATGATATGTATAAACGTATTCAGTACAGCGAAGAAGGTCACATGACCGCCTAGAGAACAAAATCGAGGAAACGATGTTTGAGATTTCTTATTGTGTAATCGGTAGATTTGGAGAGATTGAGAGACTAGGGAAAATCGATGCGCCAGACATTCATTCAAGGCGAAATTTTTGTATTTCCTTGAATCATAATGCCGGTTCTAATGTAAAATGTTAATTAGTTTTATCCATCTTATGTTTTGGCTAGTGGTCATGATTAGAAAATTGTTGACAACGATTATTGGTATACCGTTATACAATTCTACCGGTCTTGCCAGAAAAAAGACCTGACGGTAACATTCCGAGGAGCCGGTTTTTCATAGACCTTTGTTTATTCCGTTTGACGTCAACGGAAGTGAAGATATTTCAAAACAATTACAATGTGCCGATAGATAACTCACTAATGCGTTGTCATAACTTTCCATGTTTTAAATCATTCCCAGCGACGTTAGAATTGCAACCCGTTTTTATTCATATTATTCGACCCGAAGTGGAATTATTCGCTCGAAACTTGGCCTGTCAATATGTATTTAAATAATTCGAAGGAAATTGCCATTCCGCCGTGGGCGAAAAGTTTGTTTACACCACTTAAATTTTTGTGGATCGCTTAAAAGATTCGTGAATAAATATGATGTATTCCTTTACCTGCAGTGAACTTGACAACGAACCAAACGGATATTGGCACGGTTCCGTGATGGATCACGTGTAACGCGGAGATATGATCGTTCTTCTTTCTCAAAACAAAGAAAACCGTGTTTAGGAGTTCAGTGAATTTTGACATATAATACACCCAAACGACCTGCCCATCCGGACATTAGGAACTATACCAATCAAAAAACAACAAAAATATTGATTATAATAAAAATATTTATAATACAATTGAAGACATTATTTAAAATAGAAATAGCAATACAAGTGGTAAAATTCCTTCCACAATTAACTGGTTCAAAGAAGTAATTGCATTCAAGAGTCGCAAAAGAGATTGAAACGATCCTCTTTCATGATGAAATTGTTGTCCAACCCGTCAGGTTTGCTTACCTCATAGAACATCCACGTAGAGAGCATTATTTGGAAGAGATTGTAGAATATCATGACCCTCCTGAGTTCAAAAGGTTTGCGATTCTTCATCCATTTCGGACCATACACTTTTACAATGTACACATAAGAGAGAGTAACGGCTATAGTGGGGAAAATACTGCAAATCATTGGCCAGTCCTTCACCCTTGGATCACTCCGGTTGTCCATTAAGTCTTGGTAGCTATCGTATACTAGCTGTAAAACTTTCGCCATCTGAAGGGCAATGGAAAACTGCCATTATTACTACTGTCAATCACTAACTTCTTTACGAATGCGAATTTCTAGTTCATTGGTCTCTCTGTCAAATAGATAGCCACTGACTCTCAGTGTTTGAATCGTTCAACTCGTTTAATTTAATGTAATCATCATATTTTAGTGAATCGTTAACTGTGAACCTTAAACGCTTTGAGGTAGAATGTTCTCAAATAATTGAATTGTTCAAATAACAAGAGATTAGTGGATAGTTTTACTTTTCTTTAGTATCGAAGACTTCCATGTACGATCTATAAAATAATTATCTATACTTCTATATAATCATCTATCATCGATACTTCAAAAAATCATCGTCAAGGAGTCAATCCTCAAAAGATGACCAAGTACCTACCGGTAGATGGAACGTTCAAATTAGACGTGGCTGGATGGTTTTTAGTCGTTGATTGTGAACATGTCAGTAAAATCCTTGATCGTGAAGCCGATGATTTATTTGCATAGAACTCAACTGTTTCGGATTCACGGAACATTTTACTGGCCATAAGAGGCAATTTGTATCGTTTTCGTCGTATTTAAATCCGGATTAACAGACGAACAAAAATGGTTGTTAAGAGTCCGAGGAAAGTCATAAAAATGTTAATCAGAGCTACGTGTTCGACGCGAAAAAATACTGCGAAGATTATGAACCTAACTAGACGAGCGAGCAACGAAATCGGCTAGTTAACGGATTTAAAAGCCGAACGCCTGTAATATTAAAAAATCTTCGTTTTATAAGCAAAAAACTGAAAAGTGAGAAATATCCGTTTCATCCCGGCGTTTGATTCGAATCAGTATTTCCCATTTTTCAGTTTCTTGCTTGTAAAACGAAGATTTTTGAGTTTTTCAAATTTTTTTTACTGACATTGAAGCTGAATGTATGGTAATAATAAATTTCTAAAAAAATGTTAATTCTAAGTTTTAACTTAGATCTAATAACTTAATTCTAAGTCTTGACTTCTTCTACCCACGGTGAAAGTTCGATACGCATTCGTTCACTTTCGAAACAGTAATCAATTCTTCTGTTCGGATACAGAACAGGCGAGTGTTCACCCCTTCGGTACAATCCAATAGGTTCAAATCACAGCGTCCGCCTGCCAGTGGCCGTGTACTTGGTTACATATATACTCCGTATAAGGTCCGTCATAAGAATAAACTCGTGACACCTGTACGCCGACGCTATGTGGAGTGAAAAGTGCCGCAGGCCTCAATAACCTGTGCCGGAATCAATTAGGTGATCGTGCTCGGTCGTCCAATAGTCAAAGTCGCTGCCGATGCACGCGCGATTTTTACACTTTGTTCGACCGCTGAACGCTGGCCTACACATCTTTAGCAGTCCATCTGCAGGATCATTTGCAATCGCAGTTTTGCTGATACATTTCGCGTGATTACTTCGGACACCGTGATGCTTTTAAATATTAGTTTATAAAACTTTTACTATAAACTAAATTTTAAAGCTGTGGGAGTGGAGTGTAGGTTAATGAGGAGACAGTAAAACACAATTCACACCCACGTTTTGCGTTCGCGGAAGTATCAAAATCTGGAATTTATTCGTATTTTTATACAGCGCGGTTGCACGATGTACTTTTTGGAGTAACGAGTCGGCGGTACGATGCTCCAGTTAATAGTGGAATCTCCAGATGCCGTTTCTCTACTGTTCCAATTGAAATCCCCCAGGGGCCGTGTGGCGATCACGGTTCGGGAAGTGGCGATCCCGGGGTCCTTAGCTAGGGTCTAACCAACCCTTGGTGTGGACGAGACACCTTGATATGGCAGGCACAGCTTATTCATGTATGTAAGAAGCCGGACAGGTCCTACCAATAGACCTGCGATTGGATTGGTACTACGGGCGCTCCGGTTGCCCACGAGGGCGTACGAAGGGTGCCGAGTCCCCTTGTCCCCTCGCAGAGAGCGTACCATGGGTGCTTGTCCCCGGGTCTTCTCGGCCGGTGCAATTGGTGTTGGATTCGTAGTGTCAGTGGTTGAAGCCTACATGCTGGGCAGAGACCTTTCGAGGGTCTCGGCGCGTGAGCAACGTCCCACCTGCTCCTGGACCAGACAGGAAATTTGGTAGAGTTTTTGGAAAGGTAACTCGGCGCTACCAACAGTCTACTTCCATGGGACTCGTCATCCCCGGGAAGCAACGCTGGTAAGGCTACGGCCTCAGCTGATTGAGCTTAATCTCAATCCCACGCCCATGGGGGCCCTCCTTGGTAAGCCTTCGTGGCAGGAACTTGGAGGATAATCGGACTTCCCTTTGTTCCAATTGAAAGTCGGATGTCGCTCGTCTACTGTTGTATGCCGCGCGCCGAAAATGCTCCAAAAATGCTTAAATGCCGTCCGCCGCGTTCCTCTGTTCTACCGGGGTTATATACCCGGTCTAAGACAGAAAACCGCGGATGGACAAATCAATTAAAAACGTGGTGACGAAGTCGCTACAAAGTTCTTCGTATAAAAAGGCAGGTGTGAACATGGCGTGAAGACGAGCAAGCATGAACAGAGTGAAGATAAAACCTTTATATAAGCGAAAGTTCAGGAGGGTCAGAATTGTTTTCATCGAACAAAAATACACTGTGTGATGATTATTTAGTTAATGAAAATAACCGGGCTGGTCTTCGACGGAACGGGACTGACGATTGACTTCGGAATGTGTGGCGATCGAAGATCGCCTCCCTTTTTAAGTTTTCAGAGAAATAAGTGATGAGAAATTACGTGAAAACTAAAAACGGTAGGCAGTTAAAATTTCTCATAAAAATAGAGGAGAGTTGTCTGAATATGTAGCTATAAAAATGTTGAACATTGCATATCATTAAATGTTTGTAAATGATGATCAAAGTATAAAAGAAGGTAGATGCGCATACTTTGTACGCACTACTATGCAACATTGGACTCTGCAGCATTTCCGAAGAGGAAACCCTCCACAGAAAGTGTGAGAACGGTTTTCCTTCCAGACAGGTTAAGAAAATCTCTAGTGGCGATTTATGATATGTGTCGTAAGACTATCAGTGCGTTCCTTTGACAGACTATAAAGTGAATCGTGGAAAATAGATGATTCCTCCTTTTCTCCGTCGATCCACTACGTAACAACGCAAATAAAATGTCCGTAATGTCACATAAGATTAAACCATTTTATGGTAACAATAAGTAGCATGAGAATACACTTTTTATATACTGCCTTTTATACTACTGTAACTAGCCAGTAATAATCATCATTAGCATGTTATATCACAGTGTAAGTTCCATTGTTTAGAAAAAAAAACATAATTATACAGTGAAATTACTCAAAGATCGCATAAAATTAACTTAATTAGACAATGAAACATTTGAAAGTATAATTGTATGTAAAAATGTCTATTGAAACTGACAATGGAACTAGCCAGTAATAATCATCATTAGCATGTTATATCACAGTGTAAGTTCCATTGTTTAGAAAAGAACATAATTATATAGTGAAATTACTCAAAGATCGCATAAAATTAACTTAATTAGACAATGAAACATTTGAAAGTATAATTGTATGTAAAAATGTCTATTGAAACTGACAATGGAACTTTATTGTTCAGTGCGATCCCGAATAATCTAAAGGATAGTAATACGTGTATGACAAAGAAAGAGTATTCCTAAAGATTCAAAGCAGGGAACTCGAAAGACATTGGTCAAAACACGGACAGTGGGATTAAGTTCACGCAGGCAGATCGCTGTGGCTTGAAAGTGCACAGCGGCAATGATGGCGTTCACTCGCGGCGCTCGGCCTGATAATCATGGCGGCTCAGTCTCCGTACGTCGTTGTTATAGGTCCTCTGCTTTCTTCGTCCTGCGACTTGGTCAGTAACAGTGACGTGACGAAACTGAGCCGTCATAACTATCGGGCCGAAGGCCGTGAGTGAACGTTTCCCCTTGCACTGTGCCTACCAGCATGCCATCTTTATCGCTACGCACCGTACATTGTAAATAGGTTTTCAGAGGAAACACTGACACAAAATGAGGCAAATATAATTAACTACAACAGTACAATTGACATAGTTTTGGCGAATTCATAGTATCAGAACAATATATTTCGCAGCAATGTTAATTGCAGACATAGCAGCATTAAGCGTTACTACTAGTGCACAGAGATTATGGGCTCATCGAGCATACAAAACAAAATGGCCACTTCGATTTTTCCTGATGATCTGCTAAACGTTTAGTTTCCACGTAAGTCTTGTTTTCTATGCATCTTCTCCAACATTATGCAAATAATTTACATATTTCTTTGAATTAATACTATAACAATAAAATAATATGTTCTACTTTGATAAAGTAAGCCGTTTTTTCCGTTTATATCTGCGTTTGTGGCGACACTGGTCATTATCCAACGTGGGAAAAAGCGCATTCACTTTGACACCTACCTAAGGCCGGAAACAGGAAACAGAAATGCAAGTTGAACAGCGACACCTTTTTCAGTTTTCACCCACGTCAAAAGGGAAGCATCCCTTGTTTACCGAGGCGGAGGAAGAAGCATCCCTCGATCACTTGGCAACAAGCTCCAGCAGCAGAAACACGTCCAAACAGGAATAGAGCCACACTAGTAGTCCATAGCAATTTCTTTGTTTATATTTTTTATAAGTCTTGTTTCTTTGTCATAGTAAATATATATTGAATTGATGCAACCTGAATTAGTACATTCCACCTTTTATCAAATGTTCTTGAACGCCGAATACGTCGATAAGGAAGAATACGTGTTCGTAGAAATACGAAACCTAACACGTTTTTGACTGGTAGCGCCATCCGTGGTAAAATGATGAAACGGATTAAGCTCCAATTCCCACATTTTCTGCTGTATTTATTTGCACAGATTTTTTTTTTAACGTGGAGGAAATCTGCAAGCAGTAACCCCCGATCGCCCAGGGGAGCGGCCGGAGGTACTGTGGGGCTTTTAGCCACTAAAACCTCCACGGCAACCTTCCTGAGCCATAAGGGGGAGCTACGGGAACTCTCGTAGAACACAACTGCGACTCCCCCAGGCCCGGCCGGCCAGTTGCGATAACCTTAGGCCAGCACCGTCCCGGAGGGAGGTCTAGGCCACTCTCCTAAGCCATAATACGATTATGCTGCAGTGCAGGGAGGTCGCGCCCCGCACCGCAACAACCACGACGGCCGCATGACAGGACCCTGGGCCCCCTCCCCGAGTCTGCAGCCGTCCGGGGAGGACCACTTTGTCTACTCGTCATCCTCCCCCAACCCTGATGCGAATTTTAAATTCTCCCCTGGCGGACGGCGGGACGGGCCCCAGTTCCCGGGCCACTTACGCCGCCGCCCGCCTCCGTCAGGGGGTGGGGCCCGGGGGCGCTCTGCCACGGCCTCTCGGCCGCCGGCGCCCCCGAAATGACCGAGCAGAGGCCACGGTATCCCAGGACCTCTTGCTTGCCAGCATAGCCCCTACTACCGCTGGTAGCGAGAGGTCACCCCCGATGACGTCCGTTAAGACTCGGCGCAGCACACGCTGGAGGTGTGCCCCGCCTTTTCAGCGCTCCTCCTCGTCGCAATGGTGGCAAGCCGCCGTCACTTCTCTACCGATTCGACACAGGTATTCACCGAAACAACTGTGTCCGGTGAGCACCTGTGTCATGCGGTAGGTGAGCCTGCCGTAGCCTCTTTTCTGCCACCTATCCAGGTGTGGCAGAAGAGCCCCGACGATGCGTTTGTAGGCGTGGAGAGACAACTCTCCACGCCATCTTCTCTGAACGCGTCGCCAGGCCTAGTTTGCACAGATTTAAAACAAATCATTATATCTACGTTCAAAATAATACCTAAAAATGTGTTACACATTTTAGTCTTGAATGCCTAGAAAGTTTATTACAAATATTTTAGTTTAAATAAAAATGTATATTGAACTTGTAACGGGTAAAACAGAGATAACCACCCCGACAGCGATGAGTAGCACACTAAGTCATACCGTAATAAACTATGCGCCATCTAAAATTTTCCGAAACAACTAATTCATAGGCAGGTTAGAAATCGACCCCTCCCCCGAAAACCTATGTATAAAAGCACGCCGAAAAAACACAATAAAGCTAGTATTGTAGAAAACACCAACTACGTCTCATCTTATTTCATTTATCGAAACCTTTATCCGTTTGGACTACGAGAGCCATTCGCAAGATACCTATTTCTCCAAGGAGCACGAGTTTCCTCGTAACAAACTTCAATTTTATTTGTCAAATTTCAATTATTAAAATAAAAGCTATTGGTATACAACTTATCCAAGACTTCTCTATAACTGTATAATTAATCAAAATAATTCTTTTATATAAATTTTAAGGTTGTACTTTACATAGTACATGTATTTATAAAAATATTTGCGTCCGTGAATTAATAAAAACTGCATTGTTATAATGTTGTATTGAATAAATACCATTTCCTTCGTTTAAATGTACGTGCCTTATACATTTGTTGCCGCTAAAAAGTATGACATATTCGTAGCAAAAATGAAGTAAGTACATAGGTATGTAGGTACAGTAAGTAGCTTTGCTTGTTGGGAGTTTGAACACTGATACAGTTCAACGAATACGTTTGTATATTGGATTACCATATTTATTACTTAGTCAACTTCGATCATTTTGCTTGATATCGTTTTCTTATTGACTGTTCTCTAGGCATAGAGGACAGAGCGAAACCTCTGATTTTTTATACATTTTTTCGATAATTCAGAATATGTGATACAGAGTCCTATAAACTTGCAATACTTGTCCTGGTCTGTCAGCTGTGCCGAGACTGTATATATGAGCAGTTTCTATGTACTGTTTAATCAACCGGATAAAAGTAGGTATGGAGAGGGTAACTTTTCGTGAGGAGAGTGTTACTAAAGTGCCCGCGGGCACCAATTTAGATATTCTTGATTTATATAATATAAATTATGAAGGATTAATTTTATGAAGATTAATAAACAATAGAAATACACGTTATTAAGATTTTATGAGTTGCAAATGTTGTTTACTTATTATTACCATTTATCATTTATTATTTTTTCAATTTTTGTGATTATGCAAAGTGATAGTCGAAATCGAAATTAATAGTTGCCTTTGTTACGCGATTGCCACATTTCTATAGCGTCATGTGTTATTATGCGTTCTTCCTTTTTCGTAGGTTAGGAATGCAGGAAGGGTCACATTCACTTTTATATTACATAATGACTTATATAAATATTTATTGTAGTATACCACAGCCTTGAATATTCATGGAATCGTCAAAAACCAAAGCTGTAACGTGATAACATTGATACATTTAATTAATCTATGGTGTTTACTTCTTATTATGTAATACCGCAGATGAAGTATTGCGTCTAATTTTTTACACAGTCGGTAATTCAGAACACGTGACACGAAGTTGTGTAAGGTGCAATATCTATCCTTATATCTCGTCTGTGGTGAAAGCAAACGCAGTTTCGTCTAGGTTTATTCAGAGTCAGAGTGAAACATTACCACGAAATGATATTATGTTATCTTTATGTTTTGTGGGTTCACATCACAAGCGCCACTTAAACTCTTTCTGTGACAGCCCTGTACTATTTTTTTTATTCTCAACCAATAGAGTTTTCAGCTGTTACTGTTATTTTTCAACTGTCATTCATTCAAAGTACATATATCCTGAAGGAAATCTTTGTATCTATGTTGATAAAGCGGCATTAATCTTTACCTTAACATTATTTTTGAGTAATCGTTCGTTTTTTACACCCAATAACGAACGATATTGTTATGCTCGTGAATACTAAAAATATTTACAATTGATTAACGAAAAGAAATGTACGAGTTAACCGTTTTAATATCTTTTTACTGTTCTATAACAGTTGCTGTATTTGCTGTACGTATACAATTTACTTTGATATTTTTCAGTTTGTTTTTTTTCACTACACATAAGTAGTTCTAGAAAATTAAAAAGTAATTTTTTTAAAAATTTTGTTAATGATTCTTTTATTTGTCTGAGGTTAAATATTTATTAAAATATATGCATTTGTGTATTTATATGTCCCTTTTTAAATGTTAGTAGTAATGTAGAATTTCAAATATGTTATAATTATTTATTTTTTAAATAGGATACATCTATAAATCAGAAATCTTTTTGTATTATTCAAGAACCTTCTTTAAATCTTTTCAAGTACAACTTTACAAATCTTTCTGATCCTACAAAAGATATTATTATACTTCATGATTATCCAATTGAAGCTTTAAGAATACAGTTATGTACTCCGTTGAAACAAAAATGCAAAGGGAAGGATGGATATGCAATTTGTCTGATTCGAAACAAAGAAGAAATAGGAATAGGTTTACATTTTTATATGTTTTAAAATATAGACATCAATATCAAAAGGTGTTTTTTAATATAATTTTATTATTTTAGGAAAGTTTCCACCAGAAGTAAAAATAAAGAATGGAAGAATAATGTTTGTATTTATAGGCAGTGATTGTACAGCAAAAGAAAAATATATAACAAAAATTATTATGAAGTGTGATTATGCAGCTGGAAATAATTCTCTTCCCGAATTAATGCCTCATGTATGTATTTAGAATTGTTAACATTCTTATTATTATCTAAATATATTTATTACACTTAAGATAAGGTAATAGTTATGTACAAATTTTAATAACATTTATCATGTTTATTTTTACACAAAAATAACTTTTCAATGTAATTTATATTATTCACATTCCAGACATTGGACGGATGTGAATTACACTTAATTTGGAAGACTGCACTTGCTTGTGGTCCACAAACTGTATCTAATTGTACAGTAATAAATAATGGATCACACTATGATCTATCATCGTTAACAAAATATTCTGAAAATTATGTTATTTATTTGGGTAGTGGAAACTCTTCTTCTTTAGTAGATAGTGGAAACTCTTCTTCTTTAGTGGATAATGGAAAAATTATATTAAATGTTTGTCATTCTGTGATATTTGAATATGATGCCTTATGTGAAACGAAATCAGGAGCCTGCTTACAGAAAACAAAATCTGAGTATGAGTATTTCTCTTCAAGGATTATGTATATTATGCAGATTTTTGAATATCATTACAGTATATTATTGTTACAGATATGTAAATTTAGGTGATGTTGCACAACGACCACTTTTTGAGGATGGAAAATTAAAACTTAAATATCAAGATGGAAGCATGTGTAAAGTGAGAAATATTACAGAACCACATATTAAAACTACTATTACTTTCATATGTGATTTTGAAGCCATTAAAACTGTAAGCTTTAAGCTGTATGTTATACGTTGCATTCAATTTGTTTGTTTTTCATAAACATTCGTTTTACTAAATTTAGGAAACAAGTCCCGAATATGTTGGAGGAAGCAAAGAGTGTCATTATCAAATAATCTGGAAAACAGCAGCTGCATGTAGCGTGGAATCTTTACGTAATCATAGTGCAACAACTGCTGGCAAATGTACAGTGACTAATCCTCTTACTAATTTTGTGTAAGTTTATTTGAAACATTCTATTCATAAAGTTTCATTTACTTACATTTAAAAAACTTTTAATAACTGACTTTATAGGTATGATTTACAATCTTTAATGAAGGAAGACTATTATGCTACGGCACAGAATGGCACGCAATATAAATTTGCAATATGTAAATCGCCTGTGAATACGATATGTACAGCAGAAACAGGTTATTTGTTAAATTTTTGATAAATTCAGTCACAAACATTTTGATATTTTTATTTATATTTATACATTTAGGAATATGTTCCACTAAAAACGGTGTATCTATGGGAAAGTATAATACAAATTTAATATGGCAAGAAGGTGGACCATATTTAAATTATACAGATGGAGATTTGTGTGAAGGTGGGCAGCATCATTACACAGTTATTGCGTTCGTATGCGGAGCAGAAGGAGTTTCCAAAGAACCACTTGTAATGGAACAAAAGCCCTGTCAATTAATTATACATTGGAATATTGACCTAGTTTGTGAGAAAAGGGTCATTATCTTTTGTTAAAAATTTGTTAAATGAATTTGAAATTATACCGTTTTCAAAAAAATATTTTTTAACAACAAAATTGTTTATTTTACAGATAAAATGTGCTTCAATGAATTATGAGACGGATTTAAGTTCGTTAATTAAATCTAATCGTAACTATGTTGTGAAAGTGAATGAAACAGAATTTCATATAAATATATGCAGACCCTTAATACCTGTACCAAGTTTAACATGCGCACATGGCAGTGCTGCCTGCAAAGCTACTTTGAATTCAAATAAGGAGTACATAAGTCAAGTCGTAAGCAGAAAATATAATAATATATATTTACTTTTTAAATTTATACGTTATTGAAAATTAAACTAAACTAGCGTAAATAATAAAATATTATGAATAATAAAATTTTATTATAACGTGTATCTAACGTTTAGTATATTTTACTAAACATATGTTTAAAAATACGTTTTCTTAAGAAGAAGACTTATAAAAAGTAATCATTAGATAAAAATTTTTTTATTCATTGTCAGAGTTTAGGATTTCCAAAAGAAAATCCTGTTTTGGATGCAAATCGTGATACAGTGTTACGTTATATAGGTGGATCACCCTGTCCTGAAGATCCTACTAAATTAATTTCTTCATATTTTACATTCTTATGCCAGTATAATGACAAGGTGAGAATATAATTCGATTTAAAAATTACTGTCAGTTACATAATTACTTCGCCATTATTTTTTTAGGGATTTCCAGAATTTAAGGAATATACAGATTGTACTTACATTTTTGAATGGAAAACAAGTGTAACATGTGGATCTGTAATGGGAACATGGACGCCACCTTGTATTATAAAAGACCAGTTACTTTCAAACGAATGTAATCTATCCTTGTTATATGAAAATCAACAAGTATATCATGTAAGTTTACCAATATTTAATAGAATATTGGTGGTGTACATTGAGAAAAAGAATATTTATTTGTTATATGAATTGTTTGTGATGAAAAAGAATGAATGAATATAAAACTACAGGTCAAAAATAAACAAGGAAGAGACTATAGCATAAGTATATGCGGGGGAGGAAAATTCTGCAATGGTTCTGCCGTGTGCCAAGATAACAACGGGTATGGATCATTGGCAAATGTCATTTTTGATTACGGCAGAGATGTTATAAAACTCAAATATTCGAATGGTGATAAATGTGTATATAGTAAGTAATAAATACATTAACCTTCCCCTTATTAGCACTAGGAATTAAAGTGTCGTCTTTATTTTATATTAGATTCTTATACGTCTGAAGTACGATTTATATGCACCGAATCTGTGGGGATTGGTATACCAAAGTTGCTATGGGTAAGTGTTTTTAATTGATATGTATTATTTCATTTTTCATCTTTTCGTTTATATGGTAACTAAAACATAAAATGTGCACATTTATCGTGATTTTTACAAGATTCGCATGAATGTTTATTTCTCAGGTACTTGTTTAGTGTCAAATTTATAATAAACTAATCTTAAGAGTACAGTACAATATAGTGAAACGTATTTAATGCAGAATTAACAATTTATAATGAGATTCTTTATTTAATCCTCCAATCGATAGTACCGAATAGTGATCGATGTTATCATAGTATATTGTTGAAATACACATGACTTGAACACACGAGTAAACTAATTTAGTATAAAAAATATTGTGCTCATAAAATTGAGCAAAATAGAATTACAAACGCTTAATAATAAAACATATTTTTCGATAGTATAAATGATTTAAATTTAAATGGTATATTATCGATATTTTTGCATGTATGTTTACTCATTTCAATTTTATCCTTTTTGTTTGTATGATATTTAGAACAACAAAATTAAATATGATTACTTTATACAGTTATTAATTAAAATTTTCATGAAATACATTTAAAATTAGAAAAGTATTGAAAATGCATGTGCATACATGCAGCAATTATATTAAATGAAACTATATTCTATTCAATGAATCTACTTCTACAAATGTTTAATGTAATATTTCTTCTATTCCTCCTATGATGACCTTTGTGATTGGAGAACAATGGCAACATGATCTATATTCAAATGCATATAAAATTACAAAAGATACTTATTTACAATGACCTAGCTTTGTAACTGCTTATCTTCCACTATTGCGTATATATATATATAACTTAAACACTATTACATAAATTTAAAAACATACAAGAAAAGTGAGTCGTTTTATAAAATAAATATAACAAGAAATATTTGGCATTGCACTACATACCAACAAGTATTAACACGTTGGATGCCATGGGGGTCACCGGTGACCTCAACCAAATCGAATTACTATAATTCATTCGATTAAACGATGATTATTTGAAAACTTTTCTATATTACAAGTAATATCACCTAATGCAGTGACATTCGACAAGATAAATCTGTAATAATAATAACGTAATTCAATTACATAAGTTGATGTCACATTATTTTTATTTTGTATATTTTTCTCAGCAAAATCGTGCGGCACTCAACGTGTTAATAGATACTCCCTTCACACTAGATTTATCGAACCCGTCAATTTGACGGATATTGAATTTTTTAAACATTATTTGTTAACAGTTTAAGTCGTTTTTGATTGATATAATTATGCGAATATACATTATAATGTTCTGTTCTTGAAACTCGAGACTGAAATTATTTAAGTAGAGTACGAAAACATGTAAATATGAAAATATTTTTGACAGTATTGTTTAACTCTAGATAACTAAACTTAAATTACTGTTAAGCTGTAACAAAACGTTCGACTCATTAAAAACTACGAATTAAAGAATACATATTTTTACATTTCTATTATTTATTTCAAACAAAGCAGCACAATTTAAGAAATATATTATTAGATTCTAATTAGAAAATAGAAAAGTGTTCAAAATTAACGTTTGTAGTTTTTGTAAATGTTGAGGGTTTGCCCCTGAATTAGAATTCGCGAAAATTGGTGGACTATGTAGACAAATATTTAGTTATCTAGGATTAAAGAAGTGATGTTTTCTTGTTCAAATGTTACCTTATTCAGGAAACAAAATTGTTATAGAATTTCGTCATCTACAAACATTGACTAAAACGAAAAAAATTACTTATTGTAAAGTAAGAAATCTTGTTTTAAATAAGTTCAATCTCAAAAATTTATGTCAGTCAAATGTTATATATATATATATATATATATATATATATATATAAAATATAATATATATATAT